TTGGTGTTGAATAGAACTTTGTTATCTACATATGCTGCTAGCCTACTCCTTGTGATTGTATGAAACTGTTTCTGTGCAAATAATGTATAGTCTGTCCTTGGTATCCGCTGTGGTTTGGTTCCAGGAAACCCCATCAATACCCAAATCTGTGGATGTTCAAGTTCCATTAAATACAATAGCATAGTAAAATGGTATATAAAAAGATTTGCTTATTGGAATGTATATATTTTTGGAATATTTTAAGCTGTGGATGGTTGAATCCATGGATATGGAAGGTCGAATGTATGTGTCAAGTCACCTGTCAGCTCATCGCAACCTTATAAATTTCATAGTGTTTTCTTAGGCAAGGAATACTCAGAGGTGGTTTTGCCACTTCCTTCCTCTGAAATACAGCCTACAGTACCTGGTATTCATTGGCAGTCTCCATACAGGGCTGACCCTACTTTGCTTCCAAGATCAGAAGATGGTATCTGGTATCTTTAGGGTATGTCGGCTTCTGGGCTAATAATACACTTTATTTATTACAGAATTTATAGTTTCTGTTCTTATTTTCTCAAACTAACATTTGAGTCCTTAGGTAGTGCAGGGTTCAGTAGTTTTCAGCTATTTAGTATAGAGTATATTCACAATTTTGTTTGTACGAAATAGTTTTGCTTGTATTTTTTTAAAATGCAAATATACCAGATAGTACATATTTACATTTAGTTTGGATATGATTTATTTTATTTTATTTATTTTTCGCATTAGACCAGTTGTTTCCCTAAAATTCAATTATGGGGATGGAAAAAGTTTGCCCCACTACCAAAAATTAAAAAAACCCTACACTTTATTCAATGAACATATTTTGTCCCTAAACTATTATATAAACACATAACATAGCAAGCCACCTTGAATCCCATTTGGGAGAAAGGTGGGATATAAATCCCTTAAATAAAAAATAAATATATGTCTTAATTATTTATTTTTACTCTACATGCATAGGCAGATGGACTGGTCATAGATCTATCTGCCTTTGTTGTGTGTCTTCAAGTTATTTCTGACATATGGCCACCCTAAGGTGCCTCTATCTTGGGGTTTTCTTGGCAAGATTTGTTCAAAAGGGGGTTGCCTTTGCTTTCTTCTGAGTGAGAGAGTGTGATTTGTCCTGGGTCATCCAGTGGGCTTCAATGGCTGACAAGGAATTCAAACTCTGATCTCCAGAATCTGTCCAGTACTCAAACCATTATACCATGCTGGCTGTCAAATCTGTTCTAGATTGAGTAAGACAAATTAAAAAAAATGGTCATTAGGACAATCTGCAGAGCAAGCCTGAGTGGGGCCAGTATGGATTGATTGATCTAGAACAGGGGTAGGCAACCTTTCCCCTTTAAGGGCCGAGGGACTTCAGCTCCCAGAAGCCTCAGCCATGTTGGCCAATAGTCCCATTTTGGCCAATAGCTTCTGGGATTCTGGGAGCTGAAGTCCCTCCGCTCTTAAAGGGAAAAGGTTGCCTACCCCTGATCTAGAACCTCGCTCCTAGCTGTGCCTACTTGGAGAGGCAATGGGGAAAGAATGGAGTTCAGTTTTGCTGAATTATTCAATACCTGTGCATCTATCGTTCTTTTCCCTCTCACTGTGGACAGCAGCAGAGAACAGGGACTATGAAATTCCAAAATAGGTTTAAATGACAGACCCAGATTGGGGTGGCTTTTCTTCAAGATTCAAAACAGGCTCCTTCCCTAAATGAAAGACACTAAAACTGGGTTTTCTGGTTGTCGCTGCTGGTGGGAAAACTGTTAATATGAGTTTTCCACACACCAGATGCAGTGCATTGGTGTTTCTCTTTCTAAGCAGAGGCAAGCACCAGCCCATCATTTCAAACACCTTCCAGCCATCAACATAGAAGCAGGTATTCTGCCTGCAGTTAGTTTTTGTTAAATATGAGGAAGTAGGACCAGGTCTTAGACTATTATTTTGCTTTTAAAAGATTGTTACCTTGTAGTTTGATCAAATATGAAAACAGAGAAGGATTGTAGAGAAATTGTATCTAATTGTATCAGTTTGATGCATATTCAACTAACTTTTTCTGTGTATGCTTCATGTCACAAATCTGCATAAGGAACTTGGAGTTTCAGCAAATCCCATATGCTGTATTTAGTTCCTACAAGGTATTTTGTACTTAAAAGTAAATACATTAATTCATATGTGACATCCTAAACATAAGCTGCATTTGTTATGTAGGTTAACTTTCCTTTACCTAGAATTTCTAAATCTGAAATATTTCAAAATCCACAATTGTCCATATGGGTGACTAAGATAGTGACATCATTTTAATGCAACAAACCTTATTTCATGCACAAAATAATTTTAAAATATTTTGTTTAAAATTACTTTTAGGCTATATGTATAAGGTGTATATGAAACATAAATGAATTTCATGTTTAGGCTTGGATCCCATCCTCAGGATATCTCATTGTGCATATGCAAATATTCCAAAATCTGAAAAACTGCAAAATCCAAAAGACTCCTGGTTTCAAGAATTTTGGATAAGTGAGAACTCAACCTCTACATGATTCTCCCCAAAATCTGTGTATGTGAACATCTGATGTGGGTCTGCTTAATATAATTTCTCCAAATTTGAGTTCCTGTCAGTAAAATGGGAGCAAATATAGTCATGCAGTGGAGAAGATGGCGAAGTTCTATACTTGCAGCAAAGTGAGACCAGGCATGGGCTATGGCACAAACCATGAACAACTAATACCAAAAATAAGAATAAGACTTAAGAACACCAGACTAATTATTATGCCAAAATATGATCCGAAGAGCATCCTAGAGGAATTCAAAGAAAAAGTAAAAAATATATTTGCACTCTTAAGCCTAGCTGACTGGCAATCAGAAGACCTATGGCCAGAGGCCAGGAATGTAGTCAAAGAGGAATGCAGAAAGAGTCTAACTGTGACCAAAAACAAAGAGAAGAAACAATGGGTGATAGACAGAATTCTGCAAGCTGTTAAAGAAAGAAGAAAAGCAAAAGAAAAGGGTAACAGGAACAGAACAAGAACCTTGAATGCAATTGTTCAGTAATTAGTGCACAAGGGTAAAGATAATTGTTATAGTAATGCAAAGAAATAGAAGCCAACAATAAGTAGAACAAGAGACCTCTTTCACATGATCCAGTAAATTAAAGAAAAATTTAAACTAAGAATGTGGATGCTGTTCAGATGAGGAACATAATACAGCAGTAGTGGCGAACCTATGGCATGCATGCCAGAGGTGGCACTCAGAGCTTTTTTTGTGGGCATGCGCAGCGTTGCCCCAGCACAGAGTTCGCCAGAATTCATTACTAGAAAGCCAGAGGGACACAGTAAGGGATTCCAAGCTGGTTTCAGGAAAGGAGGAGGCACTAGGGATCACATTGAAAACATACAATGGACAGAATTCCAGAAGAAAATCAGCATGTGCTTTATAGACTAGAGCAAAGTCTTTGACTGCATAGATCATGAAAAACTATGGGGTGTTCTTAAAGAAATGGGCATGCCATTGCATTTGGTAGTCCTGATGCAAAATATGTACTCAGGTCATCAGAATATTGTTGTATATTAATACTGTTTTAAGGGGGGAGGGGGTTTGTTGTATATATGTGTGTTTTATGGATATGTATATGTTTTTAAATTGTAAGCCACTCAGATTGGGATTCCAGAGGGCGGGGTATAAATAAATTTTATTATTATTATTATTATTATTATTATTATTATTATTATTATTATTATTATTGTCAACTGAATACGGAGAAAGAGAATAGTTCCCATCTGGAAAAAGGATCAGACAAGGCTGCATGCTATCACCCTATCTATTCAACTTATATGCAGAAAATAGTGTACGCAGAGCAGGTTTGGACACGGAGGAAGGAAGAGTGAAGATCAGAGGAAGGACAATGCCCTTATCAACAATGTAAGATGTGCAGATGACACCATGCTACTAGCAGAAAACATCAAAGACTTGAAACAATTATAAAACAAAGTCAGAGAGGAAAGTGCTAAGTCAGTGTTGTTGAACATTAAGAAAACAGAAATAATAATGACAGAGGAGCTACAGGACCTTAAAGTAGACAACAAGGAAATTGAAATAGTTAAAATATTTCCCTATACCTTGGATCAGTCATTGATCAGAAGAGGGATTGCAGTCAAGAAAGCAGAAGACTAGGATTGGGGCAGGCAACTATGAAAAAACTATACAAGATCTTAAAGTGCAAAGATATCAAGCTGAACACCAAAGTTAGCATCATCCAAGCCATAATATTTCCCATCACCATATACAAATGAGAGAGCTGGACAGTGAAGAAAGCTGATAGAAAGAAAATCAACTCATTTGAGATGGGGTGCTGGAGAAGAGTGCATGGATGGCCAAAAAGATAAACAAATGATGAGGGGGGGGGATCTATTTTCAAATAAACCTCTATTAGATTTTTAAAAAATTTAAACTGTAATTTACCATTTTCTTCATTAATCTTACAGATGTAAGTTATGTGTCCTTCTTAAAAGCCATTTGACTGACTTGAATGCCATGAAACAGGTGTGTCACATAAAGTAGGCTGTAGGTGTGCAGTACCTCATATACTTCAATGTCACTTCTATATAGTAAAACTACAGAGAAGAAAAAATTATTTCTTTTCAGTCTGGCATCATTGTCATATATTTATGGCAAATTAGATTAAATTTAGTTGAAATTACTCTGCTGTCAGAAAGTGCTTTGATGTAACAGAGCCTTCCATCAGCCAAATGGTTTCCAGATATACCTCTTGCTTTTTCTTCTAGAGTGCTAGGTGAGAGGGAAAGGAGGAATTATCAAAATTATCTCCCTCTTCCTGGATCAAACAGCAACAGTGATATCACACCTGCCGGATACAGTTCATAAAGGCTATAGTGCTAGACATCCTTTTCTTTGAGGAAGGACCATTAAAATAGGCCTTGTTTACAAATAAACTTGCATTGATTTGAGCTGCCCATATGATGTTAGTACGAGCTAGCATAGCGTAGTGGTTTGAGTGTTTGACTACAACTCTGGAGACCAGGGTTCAAATCCCTGCTTTGTCATGGAAACCCATTGGGTGACAAGTCACATTTGCAAGTCTCACAATCTCTCATCCTCAGAGGGAAGTAATGACAAAATTCCTTTGAACAAATCTTGTCAAGAAAATCTCATGATAATGTTGCCTTAGGGTTGCCAGTAGTGAAAATGACTTGAAGTACTTAACATAAACTAGAGCTGCCAGGTTTAAACAGGGACAGGGCTCTTGTCCCTTTAATGATTGTATAGAAGAGGGATTTCAGCACGTGTTGACTATCACACCATTAAAAAGACCAAAGAACTGGAGCCCTGTTCCTTATTTCACCTGACAACCCTAACACAAGCTAACCTAACGTTAATGTACTTGACTTTTTTTTTTTTTGAAGGGAAAAAAAGTTGCCTTTTTAGTATCATGACTTCACTTTTTTAAAAAGGAAAAGATAACTTTCCAAATGCCATTTGGGCCAAATTTTCTGGAAAAACTAGTCTTAGTTCTTATTAAATATATATTAATGTTTCAGTCAAATTTGCATCCCTACACTAAAGCCTGAATTAGGGCTGGGAATTATGCAACCCTCCAAACACTGTTGGAGTAAAAGACCAGCAGCTCAAGCCAGCATAGTGAAACATAATGAATGCTGGGAGTTGCAGTCAGATATTAGAGGGCTGTGTGGTTGCTATCCTTGCCATAATCCAATTGCTAGCTTGGAGTGTAATGCATTACATCTTATACAGTGGTATAAGACATCAAATTTTAGTTGTCTCTTATGAACATAAAACTGTGCATTAGAGCAGGGGTAGGCAACCTAAGGCCAGGGGGCCGGATGAGGCCCCCCCGAGGCCTTTAGACCGGCCCCAGGCCAGTCCTGCCGCCGCCGCCGCCCACCATGATGATATTGATTATTGTTGTTATTACTTGTTCTTGGGGTTTTCTTGGCAAAATCTCCACAAGGGTTTTGCCATCATGGCTCTTCTGGGGCTGAGAAAGTGTGCATGCATCCCTGCTTGTTTGTGGGCTGCCTTCCAGTTATTTCCATGATGATATTGATTATTGTTGTTATTACTTGTTCTTGGGATTTTCTTGGCAAAATCTCCATAGGGTTTTTGCCATGGCTTTTCTGGGGCTGAGAGAGTGTGCATGCACATTTTTAAAAATAATATTTATTTTTATTTATTTATTTATTTATTTATTTATTTATTTATTTTGTGCTTTGGCCTCCTAATTGTCTGAGGGACAGCAATCCGGCCCCGGGCCCAAAAAGGTTGCCTACCCCTTTAGCTCTCTTTAGTGATTTTGGCTCTCTTTAGTGATTTTGTATTTCAAAAACATTTGTAATGCTTTCCTTTTCCATCCCTCATATTCCAGCATCAGAATTCACAA